TTAATAACTAACTATTTAATAACTAACTATTTAATAACTTAATATATAATAACTAACTATTTAATAACTAGAATTCTCTTCTATTTCTTCTACTTCTTATATATCTTCTATTCCTTTATCTCTTATTCTTTCCTCTATAATACTCTCTTCTTCTTTAGATAAGTATTTAAATCCTATATTAAATAAACTACTATATATCTTGGGTATATAAAAAGAGCTATCTAGGCCTATTTTCTAGAACACTTTCCTCCTTTTTACTTAAACTAACGCATATAGAATATATAAGACCTCTTAGACTTATAAGAAGTCTTATAAAAAGAACAAGTATACTTTTTTAATACCCCCTATCATAACTAATTAATATATATATATATAAATACTATAATAACTATTACTTACTAACTAAGGTATAAAAGAAGGCTAAAAGCTTTCTTCTAGAGCTAGAAGCTAGGTAGAAAGGGTTAAAGTATCTTCTTAGGAGGCAAAAGAAGATAGAATATCTTCTAGATACTCTATAAATTTAGAAAGAAAATTAATAAAGACAAGAGTAGTATTATTAGAAAGCTCTTAAGAAGAGGATTCTAGTAGTACCTCTTTAGAAGAGGTATAACTAGAAGAGGACTAAGAAAGATCTTAGGGAAAGTGTTAAGCTATTATTTAAATAATAACTTGCTAAGCAGTAAGGTCTATTGCTAGTAAACTAGCTAAAGAAGTAAAAGAATCTATTATATCTAATATATAGAAAAAGGTATAATTTCTTATTCTAAGAACTATCTAAAATAAAAGAAGGATTAAAGTAGTATATATAGATATTCTTCTTCTTCTTCTTCTTTTTCTTTTTCTTAGAATTTCTAAGAATAAAAGAGGATAAGTATATACCCTTAGTTTAGTTAAAAAACCTAATTCTTTCTAGTTCTAATATAGGTCTATATATATTACTACTTTATATATATAGTAAGGTAAAAGTATATAAGTAAGAAAAAAGTATAAAATTACTAGTAAGGTAAAAGTATATAAGTAAAAAGAAAGTATAAAATTACTAGTAAGGTAGGAGTATATAAGTAAGAAGAAAGTATAAAAATACTAAGATTTTATAAACCTTTCTTATTTAGGTAAAGATATTACTAGCCTTACTAATTACTACTTTAGGAAATATATAAGTTTTATAATAATTATAAGATTTTAAGTTTTTTATATTTTTTTAAAAATAATATATATAATATAAATATTCTATAGTATAGTATTTAAGATCTAAGATATTTTTATATTATATTATACTTTATATAGTTTATAATTATACTATATAGTTATAACTTATAAACTATATAATTTTATAAAGTTATAACTTATAAATTATAAATATAGTTTATAGTTATATTTTATAGTTATACTTTATAGTTATACTTTATAGTTATACTTTATAGTTATACCTTATAAGTTATAAGTTATAGTATATTCTATAATAAAATATACTTTATAAGCTATAACTTATAAGTATATTATATTATATTAATATATAATAATACTATATAATAATACTTAGTAAAGTATTTTTAAAGTATAAATATTCTACTATTTAAGTTCTTATAATTTATAGGTTTTTTATATCCTTATTCTTAATATCTTATTATACTATTAAGTATTACTTTATTACTTATAAATTATATTTATTAGTTATTTATTTAGATATATTCTTTTATAAGTAATCTTTACTTTAAACTATATTATATTTATTATTAATTTAATACTAAATATATTCCCTATAGTAAGTACTTTAATCTTTAATAAGGCTATAATTTATTTATTACTCTTAGCTAACTTAATTTACCTAGATAGAATCCTCTTTACCTCTTAGTATTTTTTATTATTAAAAATACTTAGACTTTAATAATAAGGTTAACTACTATAATACTTTAAATCTTATAGTAAATAATAATACTACTATTAGTATTATAGATATAGTTAACTTAATAGAAGATTCTAGTAGTTATATCTCTTCTATTTATAATATACTATTAGAAGACTTAGAAAAAGAAGAAACTAAACAACAAGATTTACAAGACTAATAGAATATTAATACTTTAGAAATATTTAACCCTTATACTATACTATATAATATTATAATATAAGATAAAGATAGTATTATAAGTAATACTTTAAAACTACTATTATTTAAAATATTTAATAATAAAATAAATAATAAAGATAATAGTACTTATAAAGGGTTTAAAGTAAGTAATTTAGTTAATTATAGTATTATATTTAATTAAAGTTAAACTATAACCTAGACTAATATATTATATAATAGAATACTATTAAGAATACTATAGAGTATAGTATTAGTTATAACTACTATAACTAAGAAAAAAGTAATATAGAAAAGGTTATTAATTATAATATTAAAGAAGTAAAAGAATATTATATTACTAATATTATTCTAAATACTTTTTATAGTAATAATATTAGAAGTCTTAGTATTAGTAACTAGGTAACTAGAAGTAACGTATATATATAGTGAGTAGTATATTATAGTGAGTGGCGCACGTCTACCTTATTTCTACTAGCTTTATCCTTATATTAACCTTTCTCTATATACAACAATAGAATCCTCTTCTTAAGAAAGCTAAATTATCTTTGTAATTATAGCTATCTAAAAAGACTAAAATCTATCTATATAAAAGGTAGCCTCTATCTATAATATACCTAAAACTATACTCTGTTATTAACACACTAGAAAAGTTATATAAGCTAAGACATGTTTAAAATTAATAAAGATAACTATATCTAAAGAGGAAGTAATTCTTAAAAAGGTTATTAACCTAATTAATTAAGGATTTCCTTTATAATAAGAAGATATATAAGATATAGCTAATTAACTCTTTAATATATACAATAGGATATATATTAGACCCTAATAAGTAGAGAACTTTATATAATAATAACCTTAATTAAAAATATAATTTTAACGTTAGATTAACTATTAGAGGGCCTTAGCTAAGGATCCTATAATTATATAAGGCTAATTTATACTTATATAAAATATAATTATAAAGTATAAGATATAGGATTATAATATCTATAATTTTAATAAAACTAGGTTCCTAATAAGAATACTATTATATATAAAGGTTATTATAACTTCTAACTAACGTAGAAGGCCTTATATAAAGTAGCCTAGTAATTATAAATAGGTTTCTATTATTTAGGGTATATATATAGATAGCTAGGTAATACCTTTATATGTTATTATAAAAGGTAAATATTACCTTCTATTATAGTACCTTAATAGTAAATTTTTAACTATATAGTGTATTTACTTAAGTAAAAATAGATAAACTATAAACAAGATTAGCCTAGATTAGCTAAAGCACTTTAATTAGTATATAAAGTCTTATATAAAGGGTACTTATTACCTTCTAATTCTAGATAGCTATAATAGCTATAAATTAACTAAATTTAATAACTACTATAAAGAAGAAGATATTATTACTTTATATATACTTCCTTATTTATTATATAAGCTTTAGCCTTTTAATATTAGCTATTTTAGCCCTTTAAAGCACTTATATAGTAAGGAAATTAAGAAAATAATATAGATATAAATTATATATATTACTAAGGATAACTTCTTTTTTACCTTTAAAGTAGTATTCTTTACTTTAATAAGAGAAATAAACGTATAAGTAGGTTTTTAATAGGCTAGTCTTATACCTTTTAATCCTAAAGTTATTATTTCTTGCCTAGATTTTAAGCTAAAGACACTAACACTAGTTAACTTATATCTAACTAGCTTAGGCTTATAGGACCTAAAAACACTAATAATAGTAATTAAAGGCATATAAAGCTCTACTTTATTAAAAAAAAGGATTAGGGACTATTAAGGAAGTTTACTAACACTAATGTATAAAGTAATTAACTTATAGTTAAAAGGTATTAGTAAGTTAGTATATTAACTTACTATTATTAAGGTAAAGAACTATTAACTTTATATAGGGATAAAGGTACTTAGTAAGCGCTAAAGGGCTAAAAAGACCTAACTATATCTTAGAGGATTACTTAATATAGCTAAAGTAGAGGCACTATAAAGAGAAAAAGACATTATTAAAGCTAGAGGTAAAGAAATATCCTAAAAAGAGGGTTATATAGAGAATAGTAAACTACTTATATAATAATATAGTAATTACAAGAAGACTAGATATAACGTATAAACCTATAAGGTAGTTTAGGATACTAATAAAGAATAAGGTAATATATATTTTTAATTAATTTTATATAATCTAGTTAAATTAAGTTATTAAAAAGATAAAAAGGTAGGTAGATATATACTACTTACTATAATGTACTACTTACTATATATATACGTTAAATAATAATATAACTACTTTTATATATATATATATAAAGAAATAATAGTATTAGTATTAATAAAATATTGTTTTTAATATATAAATATATATATAAACCTACTAATATATTTTTACTTATATATTATTAGACTACTATATAGATATATATAAAAAGAATTAATCTTGTATTTTTCTTTTATATTTTATATAATATATAAAATATAATATATATATTTATATTTGTATTGTATTATATATAGGAAAAAATACAAATATAAATACATGTATTGTATTATACTAGAAAAAAAATATAAATACATGTATTGTATTTGTATTGTATTTTTTTAATACTCTGCCAAGAAGCCAATAAGACCTTTTCATTAAAACTTATCCGCTACATTATGACGTTGCCTGGAATACAGTAAAGCTAATAAACCGCGAACATGAAATTATGTAGTCGTCCTTTCTGGGCGGTCATACTGAGGACTCTGCAGGTACTGGTAGCACCTGTCCATTGCACCTATTCATCTTTTCATAGTCTACAAGCACTGATTTTGGTCTGCTTTCTCAAAGCATTTCGATTATGGATAGAGTCAGCAGAGTATTTGTTTACTGTAGCCCAGAAAGTGTCGGTGCCATGGCGACCTGTCAACTGCTGCATCTATGGCGAGGTAGGTTGTGAGCGGGTGAAGACGTTCAGCACATAAGTTCATGAAGCGCAGAAGGCGTTTTGCTGCACTCAATGATACAATGTGATGAGGTGGACACCCAATGGATGCGTTTTAGTATCAGTCCCCCGCTTTGCAGAAGATGAGTCCACTCCAACTCGGTCCGCCCCTTCTCCGCGACAGCCAGCATAAGCATGTTTATGGCGGTAGACTCGGTCCTATCAAAGCCGTCATCCTCACAGTAGTTGTGTCCAGCGTCGCAGACAACACACGGCGGGTCTACGGCACCGCCCTCTTTCTCAACATTTTCTACCGTCTCATGTCTCCGGGCAGCTCTTTTACCATTGTAGCTTCGGTCACCGGTCACTTGCTGCCTTCCAGCCCGGTCCTGGAGAGTCACCTGGCAACAGCCCCGACAGTCCCCATCCTCACGCACGATGAGCCGGATCTTGATGCGGACCCAATCACGCCTATAGTGTCTCAAAGCTTGGTTGCATCGTTCGAGCCCAGCACACAGCTATCGCATGGGGACGCAAAGGAGTACAGATCAACACTATGAGCCCCGGCGCCATCGAGACCCCCATGCTTGGCCAAGTCCTGAGATCCAAGCAGAGACCAACGATCTTTTGCGCAAAGTATGATCGACTCTTTTCCACTTAGCAGGACCGGAACGCCTGACGAGGTCGCTGGGGTAGTTGCGTTCTTATCACTTGAGCGGACCTGGTTATCAATGGTGGCGTCTTGCAGACGCACTAATGGCCTGGAAGCGTTGCGGAACTGAAGCACGAAGTTTCATCATCGGATGGGCACGGAAGATAGATTGGATATGATCAGTGTTCAGGTACATGGTGATGGATGGTATCTTTCATGCCTTAACAAGTGTGATTGTGCCCTGCCGATCTGATGCTGATGGGTCCATTGTGAAGCGAGGAATTTTGAGCAATGTACTGCTTTGGTACTATCCAGGCCTTCTCAATAGGTGAAAGGTCCGGACTTCAAGGGCAGTTAGTTGAGACCATGCTTTTTCCAGTTGTGACTCTGTCTCACTGGCTTGGGCCATGGCCGCTGTCGTTATCCTCCTCCAAGACACAGGTTTTGCCTTCTTCTGGCCATTCCTTCACATAAGGCCCAAGAATAGCGTCAAGATAAATCTGGTGGCTCATCTTGCCGTTCCTGTTAGTTGGAGCCTCCTACCAGACAAGAGAGGACTTACATTCGTGTCAAATTGCAGCCTAGCAGTGTAGCCTTTTCTTATCGCCTTCTTCAGGCTCGCGGCGCTCTTGTCGGTTCTCTGGCTCATAACGGGTGCCCTCCCTTCTAGCGATATGGGCAGGGGCCTCGTCGACGTAGCCAAAATGCGTCTTATTAGAGAAAAGAAGTTTGTACCACTTCTTAGGCTTAGGTCGTTCTTTGGAATCAATAGTTGCATGCCCATAACGCTTGTTAGCAACAAGGTCTTCATCAACGTATTTAACAACGAGGGCCAGGCGTTTATTATCTTCCTGCCTGAGACGCCAAAATGCTGAGATAGCTTCTTGCAGGTAAAAGGGATCCCCTGAGTCGTCAGAAAATCGTAGGCGCCTCGCAAACGGGCCTTTTTATGCGTAACAATATAAGCAGGGGCCATCGCGGGCAAGTGAAAGTGGTGGTGAAGGTGTTAGGACGATGGGATAGGGGACGGGGTCAACCAGTCAGATATCACGGATCCATCAGCTCAGCTGGTGATATCTTCTCGACTACCACCCCCCTAACCTCACTTCTCTTCTTCAACCGGTTGAAGCCACCTTTGCAGACACCTCTCCACGTTATCGTGGCTTTGCAATCGAATCCGAACATGTACAATATCCCTATGATGCCAACATAATCAAATGCGCATGGGAATTGGCACAGCTGCGCGGTCTAATCAATGCACAACAATTTCCCGCCGAACCAGACATGGTCGGCTGCGAGTCGGAGACGAGTCGCGGTAACGGGAAGCTGGGCCTGGGGCTGTCCCTGGTTCCCGCTGGTGCCCCAGTCCCATTCATTCATACTCTGTCGCTCAGCAGAGCGTGCCGTCCGGCTCGCCCCCATGCCGAAGCACGTGTGTCAGTATCGCGGACAGACCTTCTGGAAGAATTTTGTCACGCGTAGAAAGGCCTCAAAGCCTCGTGGGTCGGTGATTAGTCCCTTACAGTACCGCTCGAGAGATCCCATAGGTCCTATGGGCTCGACGGAGCCAGAAGGCCGAAGGGTCGGCCACCGGTGTCTCCTCGTCAAGGTCATGCGGCAATAGACCAGATGGTCTACGTCCTTTGTTTCCCCGCAAGCGCAGGTCAGTGGGGCTTCAGCGTGGTTGAAACGTTGATGATAGTGCTCAGAATCTCCGTGGCCCGACCGAGCCGCCAGGAGATGATGAAGCGTCGCCCGTGGTAGGGCCAGTTCAGGAGGGCAGGAGAGAGTCGCCTCAAGCCCCAGCTGTGCGTATCGCTGTGTCGCCTCTTCATTCCACCATCTTCTATGATGGCCTCGTAGCTTTTCTTTCGCAAGCCGTTTGACCCGCGCAAGGGTAGCCATTTGGCTCATATTACGGACTGGGAGCGTCGTCCCCTCTTTAGCTAGCCTGTCCGCCGCTTCGTTCCCTCCGATGCCTTGATGCCGCGGGGCCCAGTGGGTTTGTATGTCACAGATCCTGAATGCCTCTTGAATTTCGAGAAATGCTTCTTGTGACGAGTCCGGGGCCTCACCCCGGATACCCTGGATAACACTGGTGTTGTCGATGCACACGTGCACCGGCTGGCCATGGTGAGTTAGCAGAGCCCGTCGGAGGCCTGCCCTCGCTCCTTCCACCTCGGCGTCGAACAGTTCTGCCAGCCCGAGCCGGCCGCAGCCTTGAGCCACGCGATTGGAGCCGCGATAGATGACGAAGCCGTACCCCACAGCTCCGTTTGTCGCTCTGGAGCCGTCTGAGAAGACGACCATGTGGCTTTCTGGTACGGACGTGGGCCAGGCTTGGAAGGTGATTCCGTGGTCCTCAATATACTTGTCCGTCAAGACTAGAAACTTCTCCAAGGTCTTCGTGTCGTTGAGAGCCCCGGCGCTTTGAAATTCGTCCTTACAATCTTGCTTCGTAACTACGTTCAAGCGCCAGTACTTCCGGAAGCCAGGCAACGGCGCATAGGCGTTAATGATAGCTTGAAAAAGGATGTTAGTAATCTCGGTGTTGGTGGCGACACTGGCCAGACCCTTCTCGGTCGAGTTTGGGGTCAGCGGCGAGCCAATTAAGCCGAACTTGGGCAGAACTTGGTTGAATGGCATGCCGGTGCCGATGGTAAGGAAGCAATTTGTCTGGCGGGCTGGGCCAAAGGTGCCGAGCACTTCAGTCCAGAGCCTTTTGCCGCCGTTAGCGTAGCTGGGAGTCGAAACGACGCATTGTCAACTCACCATCCCAGCAGGTTGTTCACCTGCAGGCCTCCGTCGAGGAGCTCAACCTTACCTACGTGCATGGGTGGGAAGAAGGCCGGGGCCGCCGAGGTCGCGCGTGCAGCCTGCCAGATTGGAATGCCGGGCATATCTGACATGGCATGTGGTTGGCGGTACGATCGCAAAAAGACCAGCGCGCGGTTGTTGGCGGCGTCTTGGCGGGTGGCCAGCACGAACAATCTGCACGACGGGCTCTCTGCTTCGAACAGGGGCGCGTTCTCGTCGCCGAGCTGCTCCTCGATGACCTTCTTGATGGCGTCCTCTCGCTTTTTGGGTTCATACTGCTTGCTCTTGGTGCCAAATTCCAAATCTTGGCGAGTATTCCTGTGTCGAAGATTTTGTGTATGAACTCCTCGTACTTCTCGATGCACTTCCGACCGTCCATACCAAGGCGGCCGAGCATGATGGCAATGAAGCCGAAAGTGTCAGCCACATCATCCAAGGCTACAATGAATCACTCACTCGCCCGTGCTTGTGCTGACAATCATATCAAAAACCTCCCAGGGTTTCTTGCTGCCGTGCAGTTTATCCATGACGGCCTTAAGGATATACAGGGCCGCGAGGCCTCGTACGCCGCCGCCATCTGTGTGAGTCAGCAACTGATGATCGTAATTACTCAAGACTAGGCATAAGTCAAAGCACCTACATATAAAACACCCCTACATCTGGAACACTTTTCCCACTAAAAACAGCCAAAACTAGCTATTAAGATCTACACTAATAATAGTTAGAAACGTCTATAACTTTACTATAAGGTATATAATATAGATAAGAAACTATAAAAAAAGTTTTAAGTATTTTTTATTAGTAGATTTTTAGTAATAAGGCTAAGTACTTAACTATTAAGGTTTACTAGTATTTTACTTATAAATCTTAACTTTTTAAGAATCTAGATAACTTTATTCTTTATAAACTAAATTTAGTATACTAAACGCTTATATAGTATTTAGGCCTTTTATACTCTCTTATTTTAGCTTTCTTAAATAGTTAATAGTTTATTACTAATATACTAGTAATATTAAGTTTTAGTACTAAAAATATCTTAGTAAAAAGTTTTTATATAGTATATCTAAGTAAATAAAATATTTAAAAAATAAAGCTTTTTTTATTTTAAAGTAATAATTTATTTTATAATTTTATACTACTTTTACTTACTTATACTTTTTTTTTACTAGCTATTTTTTTAGCTATAATATTTATATTATAAGACTTTATACTAATATTTTAAAGCTTTTAATTAAAAAGTTAAAATAGCTTTAATACTTTCTAAGTAAGTAATTTTTAATAGATTTAATAGAGAAATAAGTAAAGTAATAGGTCTTGTAGTTATTTAGATATAGATAGCTAGTTTTAGCTGTTTTTGGTGGGAAAAGGTGTTCTATATGTGGGGGTGTTTTATATGTGGGTGCTTTGACTTACCGAGAGAAAGCACACGCAGCGGACGGTTATTTTCCCCGACCTCCAGTGACTCGGCCGTGAAGATGCCCATGGGCAGTTTAGGGATGAATGAGTGTCTCGCGTCAAGGTTCACTCGAGTGAACATGTTATGGATACGCCTCGTCTCCGCCACGACATTTTCGTACTGGGGCGGCTTGGGCTCAACTATAGTCAGCATTGTTTTCGCTTCTTTTAGCGTGGAGCTCCAACTTGCCTTCATCTTCGCCAATATCGACGAGGAGGTTTCCGTTCCTGGGGAAGATGGCCCACTTGGGAAAACGGGCACAGAGACGGACGGCAATGACGTTTCTCTCCTCAAGAATAGTCAACTTGTGGTCTCCAGAGAACTGATTTATTAGATCTCACCTCTAAAAAAGTCAGTTGGTCATGATTTCTGTCAAACGTCTTTCCCTTGGCCTGTGGTGGTGGACGTTAGCCTGCTCCTACGTCACAGCGCATACCAAAATTGTACCCATCCGTATTCCTCAGCGGGAAAAGTTGTTGTAGTGGCTGGTCCACACCATGACAACACCGCCCACAGACTTGGGCTGCTTCGCATGCGCGTCATTCAGAATAGCGAGCTCCAGCCACGTCCAATTGCCGGCATCTGGCACGTCAGCAAAGCCCTGGTCATGGGACTCGGCCACAAGCTGGACCTGGGTTATCGTGCGGATGATGTGAAGGTTGAGCGGCTGCAAAGTTTGCCTGCGTCAGTTTGGCTTTGAAGAGCTTCAAGGCTGCTTACAGGCGTCTGGAACCAGATGTCGACCTTCGGTGTCTCCCTCTCGGCATGGAGTTCGTGATCCAAGGTCGACTGGACGATGTAATTGCCGGGTGTTACTTGGTCGCTATCGGACAGAACCCGGCGGGTGGTGAGGGTTGAAGGATTGAACGTGTTCGGGAGTTCAATCCACGACGCAGAGCACAAAGGCCAGCCTCTCCTTGATTCAGCTTAAACACTCTTAGCGCCTCGCCAATATCGGTCAACGTCTATACAACATAAGTAAAGCCGTGGTCGCACAAGTCAATGTCCTGCAAGACCCAGACACCGCTTTCAGATGACCCACTGTGGTATCTCCCGAACGGTCGCATGATTTTCTCCTGTATCTCGACATCAAGAGTCGGCTTCAACAGGACAGGGACGCAAGGAACCTCAGTCACTGCGTTTGGCACCGGGGAAGGTGTCCAGCATGTGATCTCGAGTTCCAATCCGTGCTCAATTGGTATATGACTCTTGATTTTCAAGTCCGGCCTGCGCTTCATGTATCGCTCAACGCGATCCCAGTTGATGGTCTAGCCCCGCACTCTGAAGGTCGAGCGAGTCCTTGCCAGCCGCGTACCGCTGCCGCTTGAGACACATCATGTGCATGACTTCTTTCTCCTTTAGTTTCTTCTTCAACCCCCATCGAACGACTCGAGTCTTGAACATTCGTTGTCTAGAAGACTTTTCGTGTCAGTCATTGGTTCAGGGCCAGAGGGTGTCGATATCGTTGGCTCAAGTGGGGTAGAAGCGGTCATCGCGTTCCATGATCCCCTTGACCTCCTTCAACGTCCTGCCTGCGTTTTGGTATCCCTTTGAGTGCGAGCGGACCTCACTAACCCCGATGAGGGGTAAGGGCAAATCAGACCACGGCAATTAACGCCAAAAGCCAATAGTTTTAGAGTACTTCTATCTATATGGCGTTTTGCCTATGCCAGAGGTACCAACAATCTCCACCTTTATATAACGGTACTTTATAGTCAAGGCAGCCTTGCTGTACTTTAAATAGAATAAAGGAGCCTAGAGGGCCTAGCTCTACCAGAGGCTTATTAGACTAAACTATTATGTTATTATACTGCTCTAGGTAACAGTTATCTAGGCAAGCAATAGCAAGGTCCTCTAGTAAGGAGTCTACAGACAAGCTGATATTGTCCCCCCCCTGTTAATCTAAGAGTACTGTGCACAATAACAGTAATAAACCTTATTTCCTAAAGGCTATAGTTATATCCTAAAGGCTATAGGTTTAAATCTAGTTTTCTTAGATTTTTTTAAATTTTAAAATAGCTCCACTAAGGAGGGTTAGAATAGTACTAACCTACCCTGCTTCTTACGCTATACTCTAGGTCAGGATAGGCTAAGACTATCCCTTTTACCTCTAGTTTCTTATTAAGATAGTTATATTATTACTAAATCTACTATCTACTTAGCTTTATTACTATTATTATATATAGTACTCTTAGGTTAACAGGGGGGAGATAATATTAGCTTATCTAATTCCTCTCTAGTAAGACCTCTACGTAAGTAGTACTATAAATAGAGGTATCTAAATTGGAAGATATTATGATTTTAATAATAATATTAGTGATAATGTTGAAATTAGTAGTAGTTACTAATAAAATAATATTATAAAATAATGTATTGTTATGTATCTCCAAAAGTGAGGGGTAAAAGTGGAGGGGGATCCACATTGGGGTTAGTGAGGTCCGCTCGCACTCAAAGGGATAGCCGGGTAATGACATCTCGCATACAGTCCCAGGCTTCCTCTGTGGCGTATGGCTTGCTATTCGTCTGGCGGCTGTTGGCTGTGTTCCTGTAATTGTCATGAATGTTGGGGGAACATGTGGGGGCAAATATTGCCGATATCCACCTCAGTCAAACGAGGCGTTAGACTAGCCGCGAGGTTACAATACATGCATCGGCAAAGCGGAGAACAGTCAATATTGCAACGATGGATACAAGGATCTTGCTGCTGCAGAAGTCGGAAGTGAGAAGACTACGGGTTACTGCACGGCTGGAGCTTAAGAAATCGTCTAGGACAAAATGCCGGCGCTGAGGCTCCCTGCAGTGTCACATGCCGGCTACTAGGGCACGAGTGGCAGAAACTCACATAAACTGACGCCCCGGCATCGGCTATCGCAATTGCATGTCATTGGTTCAAAGTATATGAGAGGACTTCACACTCAGACAAGATCGTCAATCAATGGTTGAATTCAAGTTGATGCCCCAGTGCATTTGGAAGCGGGCTACGTAGTCAGTGTGGGAGCGGTTAACAGGTGTCAGGCAGACACATTGCGGGGCAGCACTTGAGTCATCAAAGTACCTCTTAAAGTCTCTCGCTTAATCCTGCACAGACCTACGCACAGACCAGCTTACCCTTTTCCTACAGAAAAAAGAAGAAAACAGAGATATCTCTATTAGCTTAAGGTGTATCTAGAATATAGTAGCATAAATTAACTTTTTAGAGAAATTTACCCTTAGAGACCTACTATAAAGATAAGAGTCCCTAAGCTATAGACTATACTAATAAGTAAAGCTTTTTTTCCCTTTTTGTTGACTTAGGAGTTAAAGATTTGAAGTTGGTGGTGTGGAGAATTTGTGACTTAAGAGGAGGTGGGTCAGTACTTTGAGATAGTCTGAGATGCTAAGGTTTGACCCGCAATCTGTCTGCCTGTTAACGGCTACCGTCAGTGTTGGCGCTAACACAGGGGTGGTGAGGGGGCAGTGTTCGAACCTACACCCCAGATGCCTTGCATGTGTGCGTGCGTTTTTGTGATTGAATGCCGGTGCCATCTCTGAAAAGAGCAGAGAGCGACTAGTTGTACTTATTAGAACCAATATACCTGTACATAAGTGCACTGCATTTCAACGGCCTGCTGACTTGTTTTGGCATTCGGGCCTATTATGGTATTTGTCATCAATAACAGCCTGAGGTCACTAATCATGCAGATCCCTTCTCCAGGCCGGAATGCATTGGGCAACCCATGCCACTAAATTATTCAAGTTGCCCTCTGATCGGGTTGGAGATGGTGACCCGTCTGTACGCCGGTGTCAGTCCAAGCCACATGCTCAATTGGACAGCTGCGGATCCTCGTGGTCAAGAAGCACATTTCGAGCTGGTTAGGGCTTGGAGGTGGGAATGACGTAGACACATTGCATGTGATGCAAAGAGCATTATTTCCATGTAAGATGGGGGCACATTTTGAACGATAGGGGGCTGACACTTGCGGGTGCTACACCGAGGCGCCTAGCCTCTCCCTCTGTGCCACCAAGATGTCGCCTTGAATAAGTACAGCGCATAGACTACGAGGTTGTTGACATATTTAGCACCTTTAGCCCTGTATTTGAGTATCAACATAAGCTTGTAACAGAAACGGCTATATTCAGTGTACGCACTAATTATATGCAATCTTATCTGCCTGTTATAAGTACTTGGCATCAGTGACTCCATTTGCTCTATCTCCGCCAAAAGATACCGTGATCGGCTTGTGATTTCTAGAGAGTTTCTGTCCACCAAACCAGAGCTCAAACCGCAGATCAGCGGGGTCTACAATGACTCGCGTTTCAAAGAGGCAGATGTAATGCTTCAACCCTCGTGAGAAGCAGGTACCGCGTTTCTCTTGCTCTTGCTTTCCTCCTTCGAGCTTACTCCTAACGTCGCAACGTTTCGTCGCTCCGGCAAACATGAGTTGTACTCAGCGTCTAACGGCGGTTGGCTAACTAAATTATTCCATATTCAATCTGCAGAATCTACCCCTTGTCGGATTCTACCCCCTATTTTTTGTTGTTTTTTTGCCACTTGGCAAACAACCCTTCCTCTAACTTGTGGACTGCAAAGACCTCGTCAAGCTCTCCTACCAGTTTGCTGTTAAGGCGCGAGACCTATCACTGGGCCTGGATAATAGAGGGACGGTAAGGACCGTAGGGGTGACGGAGACAGTGGAGACTAGAGACGTAGTTGGGCCTTTGTCGTGTAGGACAGATCACTAGTGTCGCTCCCTTCCCTGCTTCCATAAGACTATCCGAGGATTGATGGCTATCCCGCCTGATCCACCGCCGTTTCTGACCGGAGAGGATATGCAGGTAGTTTTTAGCAAATGTGTGTGTCGTCCGTTCTGGATTTGATGACCTTCCACTTCCGCGAAAGGCGCGGTCCGGAGGTGGAGATGAGTGAAGTTAAGATACACAGGAAGACTGGGCGACTGAGGGTAGTGTATGGGAGGTGTAAGGTGTGAGTGAGTTCTTGTGGATCTCTTGGGGAAGCAATCCGGATCGCCTCGAAGTGCGTAGAAACGGTCGTGTCCTAGTTCCCTGCAGCAGTTGCAGATTTCTCTTGGTAGGTAAGAGAGGGAACTCGATAAAGAGGAGAAGGGAAAAAAGGGAAATCAGGCAATTCTAGGGTGAAGTTGCATCCGATGGTAGCAATAGGCGGGGGGGCGGAAGGCGGCAGGTAGGAGGAGCCTTGTTGCGTACCGCCTCGCCTCGCCTCGCTCGGCCTGCCATTCTATTATACTTTTATATATTTATTTGACTTTAAGTTTTTTCTTCCATATGCAGGTCAACTGTTAATGCTTTGAGTTGCCTTTCCAGCTTCACGACTCAACAGTCTTCCTCTTCGAAATTATATGATATATCCTGCTGCTATCCATCATTCTGAACATGCTCTCCTCTAACAAACCTGTCTGGTTACACAAGCATACGGTGCATAATCATACAAGATGTGCCATGGTCCTAACGTCCCAGGCTCCAATTGTTACTCCAGTGGCACCGAGGGCCATGCCAACGGCTCGAATGGCGCTACCAATAGCAACAAGGCCGGTGTGTGCCACAAGCCCGTGCGCGATTTTTGGTGTCGACATGACTGACTTTGTTGCGTCCAGACCACGCTGGCTACGCTGCCATTCCGGTAAGGGCCAGCTCCATCTTTTGAAGAACGTTTCAACCGTGACGAAGCATTCTGACATTCGACGGTGTAGACCCAGCAGAAGCACAGCAACCCATACCAGCCGGTTGGCAATTTCCTCAGCAATGTCGAACGATACAAGATTAGTGTGTTCAGCCATCAGCACTTCCTCTGATTCGAACCAACTGACGTGTAACCCATAGTCGAGTCCACTCTAAGAGAGGGCGAGCAATTCGCTAACGCCTTCTTTGGAACCGAGACCAAGATCAAGATTGCCAAGGCCCTCAATGACTTCGGCGTCGACTACATCGAGCTTACCTCCCCTGCTGCCTCTGAGCAGTCCCGCAAGGACTGCGAGGCCATTTGCAAGCTTGGCCTCAAGTCCAAGATCCTCACCCACGTCCGCTGCCACGTAATAAGCCTTTTACCTGCACTAAAACAGGCGAAATACTAACAGGGGCAGATGGACGATGCACGCCTTGCCGTTGAGACCGGTGTTGACGGAGTCGATGTTGTTATTGGAACCTCTTCTTACCTGCGCGAGCACTCCCACGGCAAGGACATAACCTACATCATCAACACCGCTATCGAGGTCATTAACTTTGTTAAGTCTAAGGGTCTCGAGATTCGCTTCTCATCCGAGGACTCCTTCCGCTCTGACCTCGTTGACCTGCTTTCTGTCTACAGCGCTGTCGACAAGGTTGGCGTTCATAGAGTTGGTATTGCTGATACAGTCGGCTGCGCAAGCCCCAGACAGGTCTACGACCTTGTCCGGACCTTGAGAGGTGTTGTCAGCTGCGATATTGAGACTCACGTAAGCTGCGTCCGTACTTAGCCTATGTGAAGCTTTGTTTAAACCCTAATAGTTCCACAACGACACTGGATGCGCTATCGCTAACGCCTACTGCGCTCTCGAGGCCGGCGCCACCCACAGTAAGTCATTTGCTAAGTAGTTTTGTGAGAACTGTCGCTAATATACTTCTAGTTGACACCTCTGTTATTGGTATCGGTGAGCGTAACGGTATCACTCCCCTTGGTGGTCTCATGGCTCGTATGGTCGTTGCCGCCCCAGAATACACCAAGTCCAAATATAAACTACATAAGCTAAAGGAAATTGAGAACCTTGTTGCTGAGGCCGTCGAGATCAACATCCCTTTCAACAACTACATCACTGGCTTCTCTGCCTTTACCCATAAGGCTGGTATCCACGCCAAGGCTATGCTGAACAACCCTAGCACATATGGTATACAACTTTAATACTGTGTTTCTAGCTAGTGACAAAGCTAACGCATCTTATAGAGATTATTAATCCTGCAGACTTTGGCTTAAGCAGATATATCCACTTCGCCTCGAGATTAACGGGATGGAACGCCATCAAGGGCCGTGTTGAGCAGCTTGGCCTTACTATGACTGACGCCCAGATCAAGCTCGTCACTCAGAAGATCAAGGCTATGGCAGACATCAGGCCGATCGCTATCGACGACGCGGACTCGATTATCCGCACTTTTCACCTGGAAATTGCAGAGGGTAAGCAGCCGCTGCTGTCGAACATTACTACCGAGGAGCTGGCGAAGTTCGAGAAGGCGAAAGGAGAGCTTGCTGGCGGGCCGAACCAGCGTGCTTTGGATGATACCGCCGCGGAGCCCGCTGCCAAAAAGGTGAAAGCGTAAACAATGTTTTCATGATGTATGTTGGGACACAAAAACAGGGCATCTGCTCGTACAGTCATAAATGGAAGAGGTACGAAAGCCTTTAGTTCGGATATCTCTTATTGTTAGCAAAGAAAAGTTCAACTTGATTTAGTGACACATGTTCAATCCCGCTAAGATGATAATCATAATTAAGGCCTATTGTTTTGTCTATGTATCGTCTGTCTTCGGTTATGAAGATCGAATCGCTTGTACGTATTGCACCAATGGTAACGGTACGGCTCAGCCAATCTCCAGACTTCGTTGATTCAGGCCCTACTCCATTGAGACACTATACAAGCTAATCTACTGTTCTTCGTCGCAAAGCATAAGTCATAACTTCTAGGTAACTGTGTGAGCTGTGATCACCTATTAAGTCTTCAGTGTTGGCGTTGAACGACTAAGCTAAGATAAGCGCAACAAAAAAACCTCCAATCCACCAACAACTTTTTGCATAGGGACCTTTGCCTAATCAGGTCTCCTCCCTCTGCTGGCGGTCACCCAACACGCTCTTCGGCCATGTTGATTTTACCGCATTACTCATGACATTTCAAAGTCAATCGACAAACATCCCTCCACCTCAAAGCTTTCTCTCTACGAAGATACCGAACTAAAGCTAACGCAGATGGTGACACAGAGCGGGCTGAACCAGATTGAAAAGCGCCAGGCGGTAAGTGGATCTGTGCGTGAGTTTCGTGTGAAGCGGGCTCTTGGAGAGGACAATCCAGGCGCACAAGAAGAGAGCAAGAGAGGAGGAGGCAGAGGAAAGTGGCGCCCCCACACCTAAAATCGCAGACCACGACGATCTCGGAGAGCGAGGCGGGGGCGGAGGCGGAAGCGAGATCGAAGAGGAAAAAGAAGAACAACAGGGGGGAGACCGAGGAGAGGAGGGCGAGGAAAGCGGCGAGGGCATGAGGCCTTCTGTTCCCCTATCATAGGGCGGCTTAAAACCGGAAGGTACGAAGTGTTAGTACATAGTACATGATGATGACTCCTCTACAATTTTGCGAAGGAAATCCAGAGACTACATGGGATTGATCAAAGGCAGGGTGCCTTCCCACGAAAGTTCATGCTCCCCTACTACATGGATGTGCACAAGAACCTCAAAGTACCGTCGCTGAGGTAATCAGAAAAGCACGGCCATATTTACCTGACGAGGGGGTTAAACTTTGGCCCGATACCATAGTAAACTCCTCGACAGGTCCGGTGGAGTTTTGGTCCATGTATACCTCATGGCTCTTATTGGTGAAATTTGTGATCGACATGCATAATTTTTTTTAGATTACTCTGTATTACGGATAGTCGGTGAGGAAATCAAGGAAGTCCGGACCCACTGACTAACATGAGGGGTCCAGGTACCTAGAAAGATGGCGCGGATGATTGGTGCCGGTCCTAGACATACAAATCAGTCCTGGATGCAAGCTTCCTATGCTTGGGGGTGTCGGAAAATCAGTCGCAAAAGCGGTCAAGGTCAACATTCCCTTCAACAAAAACATCACTAGGTTCTATGCCTTTACTCTCACGAGGCCGCCCTCCATAATCCTGGTCCAAGTGGTTAATGACCCGAAGCGGTTTCCCCAAACATGCTCATGCATCACAGATCATCAACTCTGCCGACTTCGCCATGAACAGACGCGTAAATTTCAACACTAGTCTGGCTGGATTAAATGCCCTTACAGTTGTATGTACCGCAGGTTGACACGAGGTAGCAGTTCGGAACTGCAGAGCACATCTTGTTGTGTATCTTTAAGCTTTATTGAGACATCGAATCAACTGGAGGGACCGTTAGAGAATAATTTACTGATCATCCGTATAAATGAGGGTTGTATTGTTGTTTTAACGAGTGGGTTTGCGTCTAGGTACGTCAGGTAGCGCCAAGGGGTTCCGGATGAATGACTCGAGCTTATGGAGCGTACTATATCAGCCCCCCCTGTTTCCCGCCGGGGCCCCACCTCGCGCACCGGCCCGGCCGGGCCAAGCGTAAGTCACCTTTAACGAGAGCCCACCCCTGGCCATCTTGACCAGAGGGTTGCATCGCTCTGAAACTCCAGCGCGCTTACTATTTATCCGGTGATAGCTTAGCATAGCGGCTGACTAGCGCTCAAAGCTTATTTCAGTGTTATATCTACGACCAGAGGACTAGCGAATCAGGGCGTGTTGCGTCACCTGGCAAAAATCCAATGAACGAGCTGACAGTGAAACGAATGTCATGCACTGGGTGGTCTCGAGAGACATCGCATGCCTTCACCTCATGGAAGTTCCTATTTGGAGACGTGCTTTGTTAAAAAAAATAGACTGCTCATTATCTCTGTGCACTCTGACATACCTCGGGTTGAATAAGGTCAGGTCGCCGGCCACTGCTTCCATGGCCTTGAACGGGTGCCCCTGAAGCATTTGAGGGTGGTATGAATCCCTAGGAAATTTCTTGCGCCACGCAATATCATCGTCGGGGGCTTGCCACTGGCGGTCGTAGATGATGGTGTCTCCACCAGGGACCGTGTTGAGAAGGATGTTCCAAGTGACCTGAGCAACACAGTCGCCGATTTTCCAGCCTGCAGCTTCCTGCGGTATATCATGATGCTTAGCGACGCCAAAGTCCAACTCAAGAGCAAGAGGCTTGTAACCTACGTAAGGTGCATAGTCTGCGTGGACGCCAATGCCTCTGTCCATTGCTCGAAGGATCCCGGCGAAGTATTCTTTATCGTCTTCGCTGGCCACACGTACATCCATGTCTGTCACGGACCGTAACTTGTCCATAACTCGCTCCAAGATGTCGATGTCTGCTTCCTTTTTCCAGCGATCCTGCAGCGTGCGGGCCTCAGTCACTCTGTCAAAATACTGAGTCTTGTCTATCAAGGCTAGGGTATTAGCTGGCTAAACTCAGGGAGAATCTGCTGAGGCCTCGCGTGAACTTGCCTTTAATATGGTCATACTGGGTGATTCCAGAGACCCCAACCCGTGGCCAGGTGTTCTCAGTATCATAGGCACCCTTTTACATCGGCTTAGCAGAAGATTTCAATGAGCGGGTATGGAATGCGTTCATACCAGTTGATGGGTTCGAATCACTTCCAGCATGCGCGTACATTCATCCGATGTAAGAAAGTTCTTCACGCGAACCACGGGAATTCTGTCCGCAAAGACATCGATCAAAGCCCCGGACGACATGGGTTGGTCCTCAAAGGTAGACCAGTTAGTAGTTACCGTGGTCTTGACGGAGGGCCCAAAATGCTTCTTATGGCCAAAGTCCGATGTTCGTCCGACGGACGGCAAGTTGAAGAAGCTCTGAGACGTTTCGGAGGTCATGTTGATATTTTCAAGAATAAGCAGAAGTTTCAGGAACGAAGAATGGATATGCAAGGAGTTGTGTGAATGAAGAAGTTTGGTCTTGTCAGTGGGAAGGTAGGACAGACGGGAATGTGGGAGTTTATATACCTATTTCGCCAGCCTAAATTGCTCCCATCAACAATTAGTCGATCAGATTAATCGACTTGGACCAATGCAAGCTGGCATCACATTTGGTTGTTGCTTTGGGGGTAGAGCTGTCGCCAGATTCAAGAGGCCTCACCACGCACTCCAGTATACTGTATTCATATGCGGCTTGGGATCAACTCTAGGCTTGTCGAGAGTGGTATCCCTTTAGTTGCGAACTGACCTCACTAACCCCTAGGTGGACCCACCCCCACTTTTACCCCTCACTTTTGGACATATATGATAATACATTGATTTAGAATATTATTTTACTAGTAACTATTACCTATTTTAATATTATCACTAATATTATTATTAAAATAATAATATCTTATAATATATATACCTTTATTTATAGTACTATTTATATAGAAGTCTTACTAAAGAACTTTACTATTATTTACCTAGATAACTCTATTCTAGAGTAATATAATAATATAAATAATTTAGCCTAATAAGTATCTAGTAGATCTAGGCCTATAGTAACAAAGGACTTAGTAAGGCTACTTAGACTATAATATACCTTTATATAAAGGTAAAGATTGTTAGTACCTTTGGCATAGGTAAAACGCTATGTAAATAGAAGTAGCTTAAAACTATTGGCTTTTGGCGTTAATTGCTGTGGCCTGATTTGCTCCTACCCCTCACGGGGGTTAGTGAGGTCAGTTCTCAACTAAAGGGATACTCTAGGCAAAGCTTGCTGGATATAGAACGCGACCGATGTCGGAGTTTTAGTGAATCGATACAGAGTGGTAGGGGTAAGTACCCCCCACCCTTGTGATGTCAACCCCCGATGATTGACCTAATTAAAATACATCTTCCATCCCCTTCTGTTGCTATCCAATCCAGCCAAAGTTAAAAATCTTGCATGCACCATTCGCGTTAACCACTGCTTGAAATCTCGCACGCATACTCAATAGTCGCTGGGCATAATAGTGGAGTGCTTCCCACACCTCTCTAACCTAGCTGTTGAGGGTCTGGCGAGGCGGCTGCTAAATGCGTCTATAATTAATCTGGATATAGCTCTTCATCCAGTTCTAGAAAGACTCTACGGGGTTGAAGTCTGGCGAGTATGGAGGGAAGTCAATGACCTCTATACCTCTGACATCTAACTCCTCATGAGTGCTGAAGGCAGTATGTGAGCTGGCTCTATCCTGCAGGAGGGCAAGCTTGATACTAGTCTGTCGATGCTAATAGAAAAAGGCATCAATGAGAGGGACTATGTGTTGCTGCTGGTATGATTCAGCGTTAGTAGTCCCTCGTCCCTCGTCTCTCCATTTCCCATACAACCCCACCCCTGGGGCTTTCTTGCCACCTGCAAAGAAGCCCCAAAACATCGAGTCTTTCCTTCTTCTGGGCCTCTGGATGATGCATGCTGACCAGGGGTATAAAACTTCGGCCTAGTACCATCGTATAACGAACATTAGGGGCGGTAGGAGCGCTTTTCAAGCTAAAATGCTTCAAAGGTACATTTCTAGACGAAAGACCTCGCTATTATCAGCGCTGAAATGGTTCAAATATAAATCCACCATCTCATATTGACCCACAGGTGTCAGTCGCATAAGCACGGCCACATCTGCTGGACATGGGGTTTTACTTTTGCCTAATACCGCAGTATGCGCCTCAGATACGACGACTATACAGACAAGCTGAAACCTTAATAGCATCCGAGATTGGGAGTGGTTTGAAAAATCCTATACCCAATGAACACGTCATCATAACATTGCTTGCGGGGCCCATTCACCATGCATGAGTTTAGTGACGAATGCATGGTGAATAGGCCCCGCAAGCACTATGTACGCAAACCGTCAAGATCCTGGAATAGGTGCTTATCCTCCCCTTGTCTACTAAGAATTCCTCCTGCGTTAGACTACTACTTGATCCACAATTTATGCGCACTTTTTGTATATATGTATTGGTCGGAAAAGCAATCTGGGCGTTCCGCAGTAGCTTCCACATACCACTCAAAGGAGTTTTCTCTGGAATCATACACAAGGAATTGATAACCTGATCGCCGATTATTCTAAGGACTCTTTTCTCTTCCACAACCATCAGCAAGGTACTCTCTCACTTTGAGGCGGCCAACTCCCAACGCCCCGAAAATCATGCAACGTACTCTGTTATCATACCAGCGCGATAGCCACTTGTCCACTCTCCTAGTCGCTGTTGAAGCTGTAAAGACCTTTGCATCCCTTGCGTCCGCTGACAAGGACCTTTTCAAGCATGCCGCAGACGATGATCACGTCGTCATCACCGATGCTACCGTGTTCCATCCTCAAGGCGGTGGCCAGCCTTCTGATCGGGGTGTCATGGAAAACGGGTTGGGGGATAAGTTCCATGTGCAGATGGTGCGCATGGCTGCGACTCAACCGCGGCAAGTGTTGCATTGCGGACGCTTCGCCAAACCATCAGCGGTTTTCCAGCCAGGCCACAAGGTCACCCAGGCTATCGATACAGAGTATCGCCTGCTATGTTCACGCTATCACACAGCAGGTCATGTTCTAGGATCAGCGGTTCGACATCTTCTTGAGGGGAGAATTGAGGGCTTTGACGAGACCAAGGCATCACACTTTCCCGACTCGGCATCGTGCGACTTTCTAGGTTCAATCCAAGGCAAATGGAAGGATGAAATTCAGGAGAAGGTTGATGCCTACGTGGAAAAGAACATGCCAGTAGAAGTACGCTGGTGGGACGAGGAGGATTTCAAAGCAAATGGCATGGAGAAACTCATCCCGGACCGCAAGGTTTTGGGGATGGATAACACAGAGAAGTTTCGCGTGGTTACCATCGTCGGTGCCGCGACCTATCCTTGTGGCGGCACCCACGTCGACAGCACTAAATTGTGCGGCAAAACGACCGTGAAGAAGATCAGTCGGTCAAAGGGCACCAGTAGAGTCAGCTATCATGTGGCAGAATCAGATGGAAACAGAAGAGGTTGATGAGGGAAAATTACATTGGCGCCATGCGCCTTTGCGTCCATATACTTTGCGTTATACCAGGGCCCGGCAACCGAGGCTCGCATAGGCATAACTCTACCACTGAGCACTCAATTTGTTGTTTCTCGATATACATTGGTTAGAAGGACGGGGATGGTCGAAAAGTGGGGACTTTGACTTACGACATAGGTAGGATGAATCTCTCATGCTCTGGGAGTCTGAGCAGTTCAAACTAAGTCCAATAACCACCCTCTCCCACTAGCTCACACGCCTAAATCAAACTGACATGAGCTGCTGGCCACCATAATGCAGTCCTATTTCCTGACCCATCAAGAACACATTCAAGTGCGTTCATCCCAGGTACTCAGTCCTCGACTCAGGCTCGCTTCAGTCTTGTAGTGGCAACAGCTCAGGTCAGACGCCCAAGAATGGTAGGGTGGGTCGATGTGAGTGTTGTTGTTATACAAGTGTCTAACTTTCTATGTTAATTAGAAGAGTGGTATCCTTGGACAGAACCTGTGCCTGCCTTGAATCAGCCGGGTACCTAGTTAGTAGGGGGGTATTCCAGCTTCAGGGGGGGGTGTCCGGCCGGTGGGGCAAAAGTTCAGGGGGGGTAAAGCCCTAAGCACCGTGTAGATTAAAAAAAACTAACTAAAGCATACTTAGCATATGCTGAGCATATACTGAGTATATACCTATAAATATAGTGTTTACCTTCTATAAATATAGAGGACTTAGTTAAAAGACTTAGGTCTAAGTCCTCTATAGTTATAGAGGGTAGGCACTATATCTAAAGGGATATGCTGAGCATATGCTCAAGCTTTTGCACTTCTCACACTCTAAGCTAAGCCTAAATAAGCCTAATAACCCTAACCTTAGCTACTTTACCCCCCCTGAACTTTTTGGCCCCACAACGGATACCCCCCCCCCCCCGAAGCTGGAATACCCTACGAACTATTCTCCCGAATCAGCCATCAAAGACTTTTGCAAGGCCTCGAGACCCTTGCCTCCATCATCCTACTACCCAAGATTAATCGCTCAATCCTCCCCTGTCGCCGTTGCATCAAGCTCGGCCCTCTTCACAACCGGTTGCGGAGGGCCACAAGCCAACATGCTCAAGGGGTGGATCTAGTGGTCCAAGTTTTACGAAGTAGTATTGACGTTGCTTGTATCACACTCAATCAATATACGCGCCGTCCATCGTGGCAGCCAAGGAAACTCTAACCACGCTGTGGACCGGACCGAACTGTGGGCCGACCCTATCAGGACCCATCTCCCTAATGTGACTATGGTGGATTTTTACCTATTTCCAAGCCTCCCCTCGCTTCTCTTTTCATGTAGTATGCTTAGTCTCAGACGATTGTCGCTGAACTTATTCCTTCCTACTCATCCGTCACGTCGGCTTTCTTCTTTGGCATTCGTATTTTCAACAAACTCATCGTCATCATGAATGACGTGATACAGCTAGCCCTGGAACCAAACACAGCGGGGAGAGAATTCGGCAAACCTGCTCAAAAGGGCGCTCACCATGTGCAGCCTCTACAAGACCCTATGCTTCCGCTTAACGTGGTCACCAAACCCAAAATCAACTGGAGAGTGGTAATTGCGTTCTTCTTTCTAGGGCTTCTAGTAAGTCTGAATGCAGAACTACGCTATACTTTTTTTTTGACTTAAGGACAGATCGCAATGCCTTCGGCAGTCATTACAACAGGCGCAAATGTCATGTTCACTGGCTTCACAGGCGTGTACGAAGTTTGTGCCTCATTGACTGGTGCTATTATTTCGGTGGGAACTCCGTTCGTCGCCCGTTTCATTCCCTACGACGTGTGCACGGTCATCTGCACAGCATCCACGGCACTGGCATATCTCATCCCGACCCTTCCTCACGTGCTCGAGGGTGGCGCGACCCCCAACAATAAGGCAGCTCCTATCATCGGAACCATGTTCGGAGGCTTTGTCTACGCATTCGGCACCAACATTTACATGGCTGTAGCAGCATTCTTTCCACCAGAAGCTGTTTTGGCCCTCAGCGTAGGCAGTGGATGTGCCATCATCCTAGGGCCTGGTCTGTACACCGCATTTATGGTTGGCCTGAACAATGATTGGAGGCGGACTTTTCTTGTCTTTCTATCTACAACAATCCTCATCCCAATTGTGTGGTGGATAGTAACGGACCCTGGGTGTCGGGCGGCTGCAGAAAAATCCAGAATCGAAAGTTTAACTGGGACGAGGCGAAGAAGCGACAATACAGACAATGGCTCCGACAGTACCGAACCTGTCAGTATTTCTAGTCCCGCAAGCATACAATACTGATACCATCACAGCAGGAAGCCATAACATGCAGCGTAGGCGGTCCCATCGAGAACTATCAGCCTGCTTTTGGCAAACACCGTTCAAGGGTGGTGTTCTTGATCAAGACTATCCTTCCCAAGTACGTCCTGCCGTTGATATTCTGCACTTCCTCTGCAATTGTGACACTCCTTGGAACGGGTCCAACACTTCAGGAGCTAGAAACTTTCAGGGATGCTCCAGACGGGGATATGCAATTCCAACTTGCCTGTGAGAAGAACCATGTAGCTTTTGCACAATAATGAGGCTGACCCTCACACCAGTCCTTTCCTATGGAGCCGCCCAGTTTCTTTTTAGCACACTATCCAGTCTGCGTCCGTCGCCACACATATGGGTTTGGACTGGTATACAAATAGCCGTCATGGCGATCGGCCTGATGCAATTTGCATATCCATTCCTTAAATACTATGGGGTATGGGTATTCGTGTTGTTTTTGACCGGGGCTTGCGTCGGAAGTGGAGTAACCAATACCAACTTCAAGATTGGCGAGGATTTCCGGAAGACTGGTGAGCCAGACGAAGTCCGGAGTTTTGCCATGAGTTTTGCGGGCGTTGGTAACTTTGGTGGTGATGCCCTTGGCGGGGCTCTTGGTGTGATGGTACAACAGATTGCCACGAAGGCTCTGCGACGTACCCAGTAAGATGCTACCGGGGAGGGAGAGTCAGTCAACACACAACGCGCATCAATCAGCGTCCTCGCATGATAGCGGGATATAATGGGGTTGTTGACAACATGCAGGCCAACCCGTTCAAGTCAAGAACCCTATATCCCGCGCAGCTCCATACACTCTGATCATTAACTTCGCCACTTTCTTCAAACGACCACAACAGCTGCTATTTTGCTGCAAGCGGCCAGCAAGACTATTTGTAGCTATGTCAGAGAATGTATTCTATATAATACATAATCCCTTGACTCTGTAGGCAAAGTAATAGTTAATCGTTAAGTCGACGTACTATATAGATTATGTTAGGCAAGGAGTTAGAGATTCCAAGGTCTTGCGTTTACATGTCGTTGCCGGACTTGTACTTTAGGCTATATTTACCTAGCCTGTCGCCGGCCTTGCCTATAGATTAAAGGGCTTTAAGATTGCATTACTGCGGTGACGCCGAGGTCGTCACTCTCCTTGGCACCGATTACATGCACGATGTGCTTTACTAGAACATCATCTTAACATCATGTGTGCAGATACTAGCATCACTGTGTGCCGGCATGCGAATATGGACCCGCATCTTCATTGTTCGAGCCGTAGGATTGGATGACTTCTTTCTGGTGCTGGTCATGATTTCAATCTCAATCGGAAGCATCAGTACTTGCGTAGGTAAGTCACGATACGCCGGCATCTACACTTAGTCCGGAGCGTATGCTGACAAGTAAACTAGCAATGGACTTTGGGCTAGGAGACGACATATTATTGATAGAGTATTATAGGTTCATCAAGTTCATGAAGGTAACTATTCTCCCCCTTCTTACGATGCGGATCGATACTTCTCAGCACATCCATTGTGACCATGAGTGACTAGATCTTCTACGTCTGCATCGGCACATTGCCGATATCGACGTCTCTCATCAAGGTCGCCATCCTGCTTCAATATCTACAGACCTTTGAGCGCGGATCAAAACCACGGATCTTTACCATCGTCATGATCTGCATCGTAGCAATGTGGGGGCCACCTTCATCTTCCTCGCCTGGGTACCCTGCATCCCCGTAGTAGCCTACTGGGACTGATCAATAGCCGCCTGCGGACGCTGGGGTTTCGGAACGCAGGTTGCGGAGGAGCTGATACGGACGTATGAGGCTCATGCCACGAGCAACATGATTCTCGAGTTCATCATCTTTGCCATTCCTTTACCGCTGTACCTCAACGCCGAGGCGAACAAGAGGTCCCGTAAGAGAGTTCGCGTTCTTGGTCTCTTTTTGTTGGGCAGCCTGTAAGTTTTTATCTAAACCGACTCTCACCATCATCTCGTTACTTGTGTACTAACCAACGGCATGATCAAGCGTCCTGATGCTCTCCGCCTGGCGTCTCATAGCTCTAGTCTGCTCCCGCGCCGGAACCTACCCGACCTTCGACCTAACGTGGGCCGCCCCGGGCCCCATGGCCCTCTCCTCGAGATCGACATGGCCGCCATCAGCGCATCCCTCTCCGTCTTCTGGCCCGTGCTACAAAACAGCATGGGCATGATCATCGTCACGCACGAAGTCAAAGTCACGACGGAAACGGTCGAGACGACGCGGAGCCGCGAAGACGACGAGTGCCTCGAGCTAGCCAACGGCGGCGCGGAAAGCAACACCTCCTTTTCCATCGCGCAGCAGATGTCAGCACAAGACTTCAACAGAAACAACGTAATTTACATGTGTCGCAATGCCTTCACGGCATCGCGCAGCCTTCGATGGATCCAACCAGTGCCAGAATATCTATTAATCTAGATCTACTGCCTAGATCTACTTTACTAACATATATATCTATACGCCCTAATAGGTAGTCTAGAATATAGATAGTTAAGCTATTTTCTTATAATATTCTATAACTAAATAAGTATATTATAATAGTTATAAGCCTAGCTTATACTGTACCCCTAATCCTATTATTACTAATATATATAGTCTAAGAACTATCTCTCTTAAATAAACTATCTTAAATATTTTTACTTAGAAATATCTCTTTAATTATTTATAATAATTAGTACTATAAAGAAGCTTAAGTTATAAAGTAATTAGCTTTTATAGTACTTTACTTTTTAACTTAAAGCCTAATTAAAATATATCTAAGAGTTTATAGACCTAGATAAGCTAGCTACTATAAGTAATAAATATTATAAGACAAGTGCCTTATATAGTAGATAAATAAGTAGAACAAGGGATAACCCTATTAGTATATATCTAGGTATTAGTGTATTTAGAAAATATAAATATAAGTATAAATACTAGTGTATTAAAATATATTTATATTTTAAAATATACTTTTCCCTAAAGAATTAGATTTAATCTATATATATACTTATTAAAGTTTCTCTTAAGTATCTATTTTATATTTAAGACCTTAAAGCTCTAGATTTATAAGCTAGTAACTTTAAATATTTCTCTTAGATTTAAATAAATATTAAAAGAAAAAATATTTTTATATTTTTAAAAAAAATATAGAATATAAAATATAGATAGTGTATATTTAATTAAAAGAATTAATTTCTTAGTAACCTTAACCTTAACTTTAAATCTTTCTATATCTAATTAAAGTAGAGTTTATATTTAGTATTATAATAATTTTACTATATTTTTTAGTGTAACCTTAAGCTTTATAACTATAGTATACTCTCTAAAGCCTTTTATAAAAATATATTTTAAATATATTTTCCCTTAATATACTAATAAATATATATATTTATACTTATAATTTATTATAAAAATATATAATCTTTTTAGTAGTTATATTAAATATATAAAAATTTAACTTAGGTAGGTTATAATTTACTATATATTAGTGTATTAAAATATATTTATATTTTAAATTATATTTTTCCCTAAAGAATTAGGTTTAATCTATATATTTACTTATTATAGTTTTTTTTAAGTGCCTATTTTACTTTTAAGACTTTGAAGTTCTAGATTTATAAGCTAGTAACTTTAAATATTTTTCTTAGATTTAAATAAATACTAAAGAAAAAATATATTTTTGTATTTTTTAAAAAAATATAAAATATAAAATACAGATAGTATATATTTAATAAAAGAATTAATTTCTTAGTAACTATAACCCTAACTTTAAATCTTTTTATATTTAATTAAAGTAGAATTTATATCTAGTATTATAATAATTTTATTATATTTTTAGTATAACCTTAAGCTCTATAACTATAGTATACTCTCTAAAGCCCTAAATAAAAATATATTTTAAATATATTTTCTCTTAATATACTACTATATATAGAACTAGTGTATTTTCTTAAGAGTTATTACTAGTTAACTAGTGTATAAAGAAAATACTTTTATATTTTTTAAAATAACTCTTTATTAAATATATAGTATAATTAATTATAAAAAAGTACTAAAATAATAAATAAATACTATAAACCTAATACTAATAATAGTAAAATACTATAGTTTATTATATTAAGTATATAGTATATATTACTTACTAAAGCTTAAAATAAAATACTAATATATAATTTAAAATAGCAATAAATAGTATAATAAATAAAAGGTTAAGAATAAACCCTAACCCTAAAGTCTTAACCTTAACCCTAGCCCTAAGTATAGCTTAACTATAAGAAATATAAGATTATATATATATAAGTATAAATATATACTTTAACTATTTATAAAGAGTTATACTATATAACTTATAAGTTAAACTTATATAGACTTATTAAAAGTTATTTTCTTAAAAGTTATTTATCTTTAAGAGTATTAATATATAGTTAAACTTATATAGACTTATTAAAAGTTATTTTCTTAAAGGTTCTTTATCTTTAAGAGTATTAATATATTCTTAGGTTAGTAATATTATAGTTAGTATATTAAAGATATATTTATATTTTAAAATATATTTTTCCCTAAAGAATTAGATTTAATCTATATATATACTTATTAAAGTTTTTCTAAAGTGCCTATTTTACGTTTAAGACCTTAAGGCTCTAGATTTATAAGCTAATAACTTTAAATACTTTTCTTAGATTTAAATAAATATTAAAGAAAAAATATATTTTTGTATTTTTTAAAAAAATATAGAATATAAAATACAGATAGTATATATTTAATAAGAGAATTAATTTCTTAGTAACCTTAACCCTAACTTTAAATCTTTTTATACTTAATTAAAGTAGAGTTTATATTTAGTATTATAATAATTTTATTATATTTTTTAGTGTAACCTTAAGCTATATAACTATAGTATACTCTCTAAAGCCCTTAATAAAAATATATTTTAAATATATTTTCCCTTAATACACTAATTATAGTTAAGGTAATAATATAACCTAGTCTAAGGTACTTTTAATAGACTTAGTTAACTTAGAAAGAATAAGTTAGACTTAGTATTAGTAAAGCTATTATAAGCTAAGGTTTTAGAAATACTATTATTATTATAACTATACTTATTATAAAATATTAATATATATACTATTATAAGATAATTACTATAGGCACTTAACTAGGTAAAGCTTAATAGTAGGTATTAGTATATTATAAGACTTAAGCTTATAAAGCCTAGATAATATAGTGTTGGTTTTTACTAGTTAATTAATAGGATCTTGTATCTTGTGATATTATAAAGGTTAGGAAAAGGTAGTTAAATTTATAGTTATTAATAGTTAACTAGTTAATAAGGTAAAGTAGGAGCATAAGTGTAGTAGCACCCTTGCGTATAGGCAAGGGTAAAGGATTCTGCTAGTAGGTAGTGTATTATATAACCTACTGCCTCTAGCTGTATTACCTATATACTAACACTAGTAACTTTCTTGTGTAGTAAAAGTTGCTAGTGCTTCTATTCTTCTTAAAAAGCCTAAAAACGTAATAAAAACAAGAAGAGTAAAAGTATTACACTTTTTATAGTTATATACTACTATAAATTTATTTATCTGTTTACCTAGTAGAGGTAGGCTTATACTATCTTGTTTAGGTGTATTTCTCTTTAGCTATAGCTATTAGAGGCATATACCTATGTTAAATAGATTTAACTACTATTAATCTATATAGTTTATATAACCTATTTCTTTCTCTAAGTGTCTATTATCCTATATCTTATTGTTCTTATTGTTTTTTATTATATTTACGTAACTTATCCCTTTATTTATATCTTTACTTTATTATAAGAGATAAGACTCTTAAGTGCTTAGTTTAGTAAGGACTTTATAAACCTATTAGTAGGGTTATTATTACTATAGATTTATCTTACCTTAAAGAGCTTATATTACTTATATAATTATTATAGTGCTATAATATTAATTATTAAGCGCTTCTTGTAGGTATTACCTAACTTTACTAGGCACTTATATAGTAAGTATAAGTTAGTATAGGTAATAGTAAGGATTAATAGGTTACTAAGCTTATTTACTACTATTATAATAGTTATAGAGAGAGTATATACTATATTAACGCCTATAACTATACTATAGACTTCTAACGTAAGAACACTTTATATTACTTATTTAGATTTAGTTAATAAGAAATAGAGGACATTACTATAGAGAGTAAACTTGCCTTGCTAGTTATTAACCTCTTTATTAGTAAAGAGAATAATAAATCTTAACTATAAAGTTAAGTTATAATTATTAGTAAAAGATTTATTAATAAATATAAAAAGCTTTATATTAGGTAGGTTAAGGGGAATAAAGGTAAGGCTATAGTTAAGTGTATTTATTTACTACTAGATTCTTTAGTTAAGTTATTAAATAGCTTTACTGTCTAGCTCTTTGTGCTAAGCTGCAGTAGATAGGTTAAAGTATACTTTAGGCTAGTAGATAGAAGTAATATATACGCCTTAAGTGCGCTACTAGACGTAGTCTTACTGGGCTATAGGCAATTTCTTGTTAATAAGTCTTAGCTTTACGCCTTAGCCCTTCTAGTAAAGTGTAATAGAGGTGTCTTTAGCTAAAGTTAATAAGATAATTCCTTTATTAAATACTAAAGGTTTATTCTTTATAAGTAAATTTTCTCTTTTATAAAGAGCTTTACTTTAGTAAGCTTATTATCCTTGTAGTTAGAGAAATTAACGCTAGTTAGGCTAATTATATTATCTATTTATATCTTAATTATTATAAAGTTAAGGTTTTTTATAAATAAAAGGAGTAGGCATAGGTTATATAAAGTAGTAACTATATTAAGCTTTTTATAGTAGTAGTAGTTATAGGTTGCTTACTAATAGGTACCTGCTTTAGTAAGGCTATATAATAGCTTTACTACCTTTATAATAGTACCTTAAGGGTAGTAATTATAGATTTAAAGAGGAAGTTATATATAGATAGTATAGTTAAGTTATAAAGTTAACTATATATAGGCCTATATTATATCTTATAGCTATATTACTTTACTATTAGCTATAAGGGAAAAGGTAAGTATAAGAATTATATACTAGCTAGCTCTCTAAATTATAGGTAACTAAACTAGTAAGGTTTTTTTACTATTATTACTATAACCTTATACTATAAGTTATAATTTTTTATATAGCTTATTATTTTTACCTTTAACTTTATTAATAAGGTAAGATTTAAAAATATAGCCTTAGTAAATAGAAGGATTATATATAATAATCTTAAATACACTATAGTTAATAAGGCCTTAGATCTTACTTTTACTTAACTGTTTAAAGGGCTTACTAGGTGTAGTAATAACGCCTTAGTTATATAGTTATTACGCAAGTGCTAGGTCTACTTTCTCTTTAGCTAAGAGGAAGACACTAGAGGGTTTATCTGTTTCC